TTGTTGTTGTTGTTGTTGTTGTGTACGTCGTTGATGATGAGAATTTGATGATCGTCGATATTTCTGTTGATGTTTAGAAGATATATTTGAAGTTGGTGATATTGATTCATTTTTTTGTTTTTCTTCTTCCATTATTGGTAATGGATCAATTATTCGTAAAATATCAATCATTATTTTAGTTAATGAATGAATACCATTGAGATGTGTTGGTGGTACTTGTAAAGGTGTTTCAGGACCTGAATGTGAACGTTTTCTATTTGTTGTTGATTGATTTGGAAAAACAAAAGCTCTATTTGAATGTACTCGTTGTCGTTTTGATGAATGTCTATTTGGATAAAGACTATCATCTGTTAATGGTGGCATTAATGGTGAATAAGGTGAATATGCCGGTTTGGAATGATAAGATGATGTTGAATTTGATGAATTACTATATTCTTGTTGCCACCAAGAATTTGATGGTGAATTTGTTGTATTCCATGATTGACGATTATATGGAAAATGTTGTGGTACAAGTGAAAGTAATGGTCGTATTGGAGAATTACTTGTTGGTATTGTTGGATAAGATTCCGAATAATAACGTGAACGTAACTGACGATAATTAGATTGATCACCTTGTGTTGCACGTCGACGTAAATGTGCTGGTGCTAATTCTGAACGATATGTTGGAGAAAAATCAGTTGGTGTAAAAGCTGGTGCATCAGGATTTAAATGTATTTCATTTATTGTATTATCATTACCAATATGTAATAAACGTGTTAATTCACGTGTTGCTTCACCTAAATCCATTTTATTTGTTGCTGTAAATGTACTTTGTGTTATATCACCAAATTCTGATGATGAACCAGATGATGATGAATAACGTGTTTGTTGTTTACGTACACTAACTGATGCACGTTTATCATCAGTTGATAAAATATCGCCAACAGATACTTCAACAGAAGTTGAAGGTAATCGTTGTGATACATTAGTTATTGTTGCCGATTTAGGACTATCTAATGATGATACTAATGATGAAGCAGCTGCTGATTTGGCATCAACTGGTTTTGGACGTATTTTTGATTGTAAAGGACTTGAAGATGGATCACGATTTTCGTCACTCATTTTTTTTT